ACCTGCCTGCCTTCTTCCTTAAAGGAGGAACCCCTCTTTTCAGCCTGGCTCCAAATGATTAAGAACAGCACCTCATCTCAGAGGAAAGTTGGACAATCAGAAGGAGATAAGTCATCTAGGGTAATGTGGAGCAAGATGTGAATTATGATTTTTATAAAGATGTACATTAGTAGCTGCAATAAGATATACATTTTTATTTAATCCAAGATGTTGATTTGTTTTTTTGTTTTTGTATTTGGTCTTATTTTGTTCTATCTATTGTCTCTCTTATGAATGAAGGAAAATATAGTTCCCCTCTCCCTCTCCCCCTTCCCTCCCTTCCTCTCTCTCCCTCCCTTCCTGTCTCCCTCTCCCTCCCTCCCCCTTCTCTCCTTCTCCCTTCCTCATCCCTCCCCCCTCTCCATCCTTCCCTTTCCCCTCCCCACTTTCTCTGTGTATGTTGCCTGGACAATTTGCTGCAAGTAAAATCCTGAAGGATTCACAGCATTTCCCTTTTCCCCATCATCTTCCTCTGTTTTCTCCTTACATAATAAACAACTGGCATGTTTTCAAGACATATCAGTGTCCTTCTGGCAGGGAATTTATCCTATCATGCATCCCCACTCCTCTGCTACTGAGAGAGCCACACGACAGCCATGAGACAGAAGATTTTCCACTTCTTTCCTCCCAAATCAGGTACAGAGAATTTCTGCTGGATGATGATAGTGACTGAACAGACCCTCCCATGAGGGTCCCCTACTAGATCCCTCTGTGAGAATGTCATTACAGCCCTCACCTCTTGAAGCCAAATGAAGCCTTGCTTGCCTTCTCCAGCACTTCAACAGTGCTGGAGGAGATGCTGAAGAGGCCGCAAGCTGATGTGAAGCAGCTTGTTGAGGCAAATTGTGTGGCCTCTTTACTTAGACAAAATGCTTCGTGTTGCTTTCTCAGTGTGAAACATCTTATTAAGCCAAATCAAAACCACAGGCTCTGTAGTGATGTGGAGCAGGGCACACGCATACGCACATCCTTTGCATTTGCCTGTCTGTTTTTACATGCATTCATCTGCTTTCTTTTTCAGGAGAGGCTGAAACCCAGATAGCAAAATGTGGATGTACATTTGTACATTACCACCTATGTGAATCCTCATTTCCACCTATGTGAATCCTCACATGAAGTATTTTCTAAAACCTAAATAATGTATCTATCAAGCTGGTGGGGATTTTTGCATTTGTGACCATTTTTAATCCAGCCATTTTGCTTATGGGCTGCTTTTCTCTCAGTGCACCATTCCCCCACCAACTCTCCAGCCTAAACCAATAATAGTGACACAATTTGTTCCTGCTTGTGTAGTGCCTAGACCCGATGTCAGCAACCTGTGGCCCCAGAACCTCATGTGGCTCTTTGACCCCTCTTTTGTGGCTCCCTGCCGACCTGGTCACATGACCTTCTCTCCACCCCAAGAAGGCGCAAGCCTCTTTGCAGAGCCATGTAGCTGAAGCACCCATAGAATTTTCTCTGCACTGCCTGTGACTGGCTGCTTTTTTTGATTCCGCATCCTTTGTGGGAAGCTCAGTGCCAGCCATGGTCCCCTTCGTGTCAGCTCAGGAATGAGGGGAATGGGGAGGAGCAGCTGCCACCGTGGCCGGATGCAGGGAGGGAAGAGCTGCAGCTCTCCTGCACAATGTGGCTCTCCTGTGCAGCATGGCTCTCCTGCACTGTGCAGCGCAACTGGCTACTCACATCACTGCACAGTGGTGGCAGAGAGAGGAGGAGTTGCTGTCCCTGCCACCATCATCTTGGCCAGTGGTGGGTTTCAAATTTTTTAGAACCTCTTCTGTAGGTGTGGCCTGTTTTGTGGGAGTGGCTTGCCAGCCATGTGACTGGGTGGGTGTGGCCAACTTGTAAAATGTGGTGAAACTCACTTAACAACGCTCTTGCTTAGCAACCAAAATGTTGGCTCAGGAACTCTGNGTTCGCGGTTATGTCGTGCCACGCCAAGACTTAGATTCAATGGCCTCATTTGCCCTAACAATAATTCTTATGATGCATCCAAGGAAACATGCATGTGACTATATTCTAAGAATTACACTATCAGGTCTGATAATGTCTGCCTCCCATACTAAGCCATTGTTTGCTTAAACATGACTACAGTAGTTGACATCATCTATAATAAGCCAAAACTAAATCTATTATTACAGTTAGGTACGATATGTTGACTCAATAGGTGTTTTGACCACATTTAGCTGTAGGACTGGCCTTTCCTATTTGGAACAGGTTGCCAACTTCCTCTAATTCTGAGGCAAGATTTCATACCAGGCAAAAGCAATAACTATTAACTGTCCAGCGCCATAAACCATTCTTCAGAATTTTTTTTTTTACAATAATCAAAGAGGCAACAATTCTAGGCCTGTTGTTTTAGTTAACAGAAATTTGAGCATAATGTTCCTAATTTTAAAATTGTAAGAGCATATTGGAAGTGTAATCTCCTTTCTTCAGGTTATAGGTGACTTAAAGGAGTCATATGCTTCCTTCAATTTCTAATTCTTTGCTGGTTAGAACAAATGCAAAAAGCCCTCTTCAGTTTGTTATATCCTTCTTCCGCTTGCCCGATTATCTCAAAAGGATTTTTCCCCCTCACAGAAAAATCTGGATAGACCTCTCTCACTTTATGTCTTTCCATCTTACTACTTCAGACACTAGATAGCAATAAGGAGCAAATATCCAACTCTTTTAGTGGGAACATGTCCATTTCAGAATACCTACCGGTACTCCGTTCTCTGGGAAGATATGTTTCTCTGTCTGTCTGAATGTCTCTCAATTCAAATATCTCCCTTCTCTTCCAGTACAAGGCCTCACTCTGAGTCAGAATTGCTGACAGATGCAAAAGCTTGAATATGCAGCCAGTCAGGCAGCCTGGATTTTTAAACACAATGCAAATAAAGCAGCTGAGGGGTATATAATGCCTCATGTTTCCCCAGAACATTCAATTTCCAGGTCGCCTATAGCAGTGATGGTGAACCTTTTTGGCACTGAGTGCCAAAAAGATTGTATGGAAACATCACGCTCATGCGCTCACACTCATCGGGGCCGCACTTTGGAAAAGCTAGACTTGTGGGTTCTGGTGCACATGCGCACCCAACAATCAGCTAGCCAGTGTGCATGCGCACACCAATTTTTGATCCTGCCACACACAAGAAGGATAGCTGATAGCCACCTGCGCATGCGCGCCAGAAACAGAAATATGAACAGGCAAGGCCATGCGTACCGGGTGACATGGCTTCGTGTGCCACTTTGGGCATGTGTGCCATAGCTTTGCCATCACGGACCTATAGGAATGCTTGACATGATCCAGTTGATCCTAGGTAGGAGAAGAATACTTTGCGGTTCCTAGAGTAAACAGGAAGCCTGTGAAAGGAGGAGGAGGCTGGGAAGCATTTCACAGGCATGGCTTGAAACTGTAAATCTCATCAACATCTCAGTAGAGGCATGAACTGAGTTACTATAAGCAAACTTAACCATAATAAAAGATCAGGTGAATTTTGTTGCTGATAGTTTACGTAAGAAAATCATTACACTAACTTGGCATCTGTCCTGTTTCTCCATCTAACAGTGAACAATGGACAGTGCTGAAATAGAACTTTCCAAAAATGGGACATGAATTGTATATCTCCATCAGAAATAAAGTGATTGGGCAAATCATAATTTCAGAAAACCTGATGAATAAACAAGCTATTTCAGGAATAGAGGGAAGGTGGTGGTAGGGAATGACACGATTCATCTTGGAGCAAAGCTCACCTTTAATTGGGTATTTTAATATTTGGCAGACTAGTAAAATCCAAGGAAGCTGCATCTCTCTTTTGAAGAGAGACAGGGCCACACATGCAACAGTCCAGCCAATTTGTTGGTGGAAGGTTTGGAATAACAAAGATTTTTTTTTTGCTGGAAAATGAGCTCTTCTGAATACAGATTTAAACAGGTAAGGAAGGGAATCACTTTTCCAATCCCAAGAATCTCAAAGGACAGTGTAGATATTGGCGGGGAGCAGCAGTGGGATTCACTTACCTTCCCTACCGGTTTGCAAATGTAAGCGCACATGTGCACATGTGC